AAAGGTAAGAAATCTTAGTGGTTATAACAAAAACCTGGCAGTATGCGTTCCTTCAAAGATTGATTATCTGCTGTGTGCCAGACATGGCTCTGGGTGCTGGGGATCGGTCAGTAAGTAACAGAGAGCCATGGTCTCTGGGCATGGAGCTTTTATCAAGATGAAATATTTACAGTGGTCATGATTCCATGGAATCACCATTTAGGTCATGGAATTTTTTGTCTTTTGGACCTCAGATGCTCAGTCTTGAGTTAGTTCATAGCTGTATTTCTTCATAACAAATTACTCCAAAACTTAGTCCCTTGAAACAACAAACTTTTATCTCACAGTTTCTTTGGTTAGGCTGTGGGCATGGCTTAGCTGGGTGCTTGTGCTTCAGAGTCTTTCCCAGGCTGTAATCAAGGTAGCAGTCATGGCTGCAATCAGCTCAAGACTCAACTGAGGAAGGATTGGCTTCCAGGCTCCCTTACATGGTGATGGCAGGATTCAGCTCCTCACTGGCTGTTGGCCTGGGGTCCCCCTCAGTTCTTTGCCATGTGAGCCTCTGCACAGGACAGCTTAGAGCTGCCAGCAAGAGGCTGTGAGCAAGATGGAAGTCACAGTCAAATCTCAGAGGTGACATTCCATAATTTTTGCTTATTCTGTCTATTAACAAGCTCATATTCAAGGGAAGGTGATTACACAAGGGTAGGGATACCAGGGGGCATCTTAGAGGCTATATGTTGATACAAGACTCTTCTTTTGTAGTGTGTATTATTTGTTTTTTCCTTAGCCTTCATCTTCTTTCTCCACTTATATTCTGTATCTTACCCTCCAAAGATACTCTAATATATTTAATATGTGTTTTTTGATGTGTATATATCCCTGACAAAAGAGTGTTTTATATAGTATATATATTTTGAATTTACAAAATGCTATTGTGATCTAAATCTTGTTCTGTGTCTGGGTTTTATTTCACCCAACCCTGTATTTCAATGATCTATGCATGTTGCTATTTTTAAATTTTGTCAATTGCTTCCTCTTCTACATGGTATTCCATAGTATGCATCCACCACATTATCTTACCCATTTCTCTAGCAGGGAATAGGTTGATTGCCTCCAACTCCTTGATTTCTCAAATAATTCTGTCATTAACATCCTAAAACAAGTCTCTGGAGCTGCGGGTGAGACTTCCTCTGGAATATTTAGAGAAGAGTGGGATTTCTGGGTTGTATATTTGCATATGTAATTTCTCTAAGTACTGCCAGATTGCTCTCCAAAATGACTATACCAGTTTATTTCTACACATTATATGTGAGGGTTTCTTTTTTCCCAAATCCTTGCCAGTACTTAGTATTATTAGATTTACCATTTTGTTTTTAATCTGGTGAATGTAAAAGGGGTTTCTGATTACTTTCATTTGCATTCATCTGTTAATAGTATCTGTACTTGTAGCCATTTGGATTTTCCCTTCCATGAATTGTCCTTTATTCTCTCTACTTTTTTCGTATGAAGTCCTTTTGTCCATTAGAATGAGGAATTATCAGAATGGATTTTCTTTTGTTGAGAGCAAGAGAAAGAGACAGGGAGAGAGAGCATGCATGGAGGAGGAGGAGGGGCAGAGGGAAAGGGAGAGAGAATCTTAAGCAGGCACCAGCCACTTCCAGTACAGAGTCCAACACAGGGCTTAGATCATGACCTGAGCCAAAATCAGTCAACATTAACTGACTTGAGCCACCCAGTTGCCCCAAGGATGGATTTTCTGATCTTAAATTACCTTTGCTTTCCTGCGATAAATCTTTTTTTTTTTTTTTTTTTTTTTAAGGTTTATTTACTTAAGTAATCTCTACACCCAACATGGGGCTCAAACTCACGACCCCAAGGTCAAGAGTTACATGCTCTTCCAGTTGAGCCAGCCAGGTGCCCCCTGGGATAATTCTTGATCAGAGATAGTGTGTGTTTTGAAACATTGTTAGCTCTTATTTTTGTTCATAAGCAAAGTGGGCTTTATTTTGTTCTTATTCAATTTTGAAATTGAGGTGAGCCCAGCCTCCTAAAAGAGTTGGTCAGTTTTTCTGTTGTTTTCTCAGTCAACTTTTATGTTATTAGAATTACCTTCTATTTAGAAGTTAGTTGTAAAACCCACCTATAAAAAATCCTCTGGGCCTGAAGCTTTTTAAAGGTAGAGGTCTCTCATTAAAACTTCAATTTCGTGGCGCCTGGGTGGCTCAGTCGGTTAAGCATCCGACTTCGGCTCAGGTCACGATCTCACAGTTCGTGAGTTCGAGCCCTGCGTCGGGCTCTGTGCTGACAGCTCAGAGCCTGGAGCCTGCTTCGGATTCTGTGTCTTCTTCTCTCTCTGCTCCTCCCCTACTTGTGTTCTGTCTCTGTCTGTCTCTCAATAAATAAATAAATAAATAAATAAATGTAAAAAAAAATTTTT